TGGAAAATTTAAGCCAATAATTTAGCTAATTGAGGTTAACAAGTCAGGTGGTGACGGGCCCGATCAGGTTGGGGACGGCGGCGGACAACATGGTCCGTGGTTGGTGGCCAAGACATCCAAACGAGCGGGAGTGCGTCCTTGGGCTGGGGCCCAGGTGTCGGGTAAGGGCCCTGCTGGCACTAGCTTACATGGTTCTTGGTTTGGGGTGCTGCGGGAGGAGTTGGAGGAGTTGGGCCTGGTATCGACTGCGACGGACGGTGATCGTCTTGAGGGTGCTAGGGGTTCTAAAAGGGTCTCTATTTTGAAGGCGGGTTCTCAACCAAGGAGGGCTGAGACTGACTGGAAAAACTGGCGCCAGAGCACTGGGAAGAAGAAGGTGACTAATGGAAATGGGTCTCGGCCTGGGCCACGTTTGTTTGGGGGGGAGAAATCGGGGACTTCTATGGTTGCAGCTACTCAGGCCCCTACAGCTGCGGATCAGGTTGTTCGGGATAGGGAGGATACTTCCCTTTTTGGCGGTCATTTGGCGGCACTACGGAAAAATACTTTGCAGCAACCTACTTCTGAGATCGTTACCCCAGCCTTATCCACCCTGGATAAATCGAAACACCATGTAGTGATTGTGACGGACGAGTTAGTGGACTCGCGATCCGGTGACAAGATTGTGTTACTGGACCCGGGTGACGCGGCTATGGTGGTTGAGGGGGACGATGTAGAGCGGCGGCCACCGGAGACTGAGACGGTTGGGGATCATTTGCTGCGGGCCCATGACATGGATGCGGATGAGGGAACCCATGTTCCTTGCTCGATTTGAGTCGGCCCTTGGCAACGTCATTTGTTTTTCTGTCTTTGTTTCCTTATGAATTTTGCCTCATGGAATGTGCGTGGAGCCGCTTCTGATGAGTTCCGAAGGGCTTTTCTTGCTTTGTGCCAACAATCTCGTCTGAATGTTTTTGCTTTGTTCGAGCCTCGGATTGGAGGAGTGCGTGCTGATAATTTCATTAAGCGCAGTGGTTATGACCGGTCGTTTCGCGTCGAGGCATCTGGATTCTTTGGGGGTATATGGATTTTGTGGCAGCCGGAGGTTGACTTGCAGGTGCTGGAATGTAGTCGTCAATATGTCCATGCCCATGCCCAGATGGGGGACCACACGCCCTTTGTGACCTTTGTATATGCGAGCCCGAAACCTGTTGTTCGGCGCTCTTTGTGGGGGTCTCTCAATAGTTTGGCACGTACAATTACTGGTCCGTGGGCTATTGGCGGTGATTCAATTGTCTTCTTCGGGTCTCGGAGAAGAAAAGTGGCTCCCTGCGGAATTGTAACACTAGCTCGGCCTTTGCTGAGTGGATTTTTGATAACAACCTCTAAGAGATGCGGACTGATGGGACCCAAATGACGTGGTTCTGTACTGGACTAGCGGAGAATCTTGATAGATGGGTATGCAATGAGGACTGGTTGGATAAGTTCCCGGAAAGTATGGTGTGGCACCTTCCCCGGGTGCACTCTGATCACACGCCTTTACTTGTTCGGGTGGCCGGTCAGGATAGGCAGCGGAGCCTTAAGCCTTTTCATTTTCTTGCGGCGTGGCTTACTCATGACGGCTTCGAGGAGTTGATGGCTAAGGTGTGGTCTTCTGGGGCCACATACGCGGATGCAGCAGGTGAGTTTGCTTCGCAGGCTCAGGAGTGGAACTTGAGGGTGTTTGGTAATATTTTCCATCGTAAATGGTAGCTTCTGGCTCGTATTGCAGGGACCCAGCGATCAAGTCAGTTCTCGAGGAATCCTTTTCTGCGCAGACTGGCTGCCCAATTACAAGGTGAGTTGGATAGTATTCTCTTCCAGGAGGAGCTGTTGTTTCTGCAGAAATCTCAGCGTGATTGGACGCTGTTTGGAGATCGGAATACCGCCTATTATCATCGTCTGGTGAAGCATCGACGCTGTAAGATTAGGATCCTGTTTCTGGTGAATGATGAAGGAAGTAGGATCGAGGATCGAGACTTGATGAGGCGTATGTAACACCCCGCTATTTACTGAAATCAGAGTATGCTTTTTCGCAAAGTTTTTCAAAATAAAACATTTAATTCTTTTTGCGAAAACTGATTCAGAGTGTTACCGTAAAATCTAACTTTTCTGAAATAACCGTTAATTTTAAACTGATAATAAAAACGGTTATGTAATGTATTAACCGACTAATGTCGGATCAAAAGCTGAGTTCAAGTACTGAAAACTTGTAGCGGAATAGTAGCGTGGCCAAAACATTACATACACATAATAACAAATATCCTGAACAACTCGTCAGCTCACTCCTCGTCCCCGACTCTGTGACCTGAAAAACATGAAATACGTGGGGGCGTGAGCACTAAAACACTGTGCTCCGCAGAAACTCATACTAAAGTAAAACAGTAAAAATAATAATAATATCATGATTCTGGCATATACATAACCTGAACATGAAACTGGTAATAACATGAACATGAATCTGATATCATCACGTGAACGTGAACCATGACTGTTACCTCATCTGCCAGCATAAAATTATCGGACACCATGTGCACACTCTAGTAGGCAGCCTAAGGCCACTAGAACCCAGAATGGACCGGCGACCATTTCGAGCGGATACATGACATGAAATACATACCTCAAACATGGTACCGTAATTATAATCAATGTAGTACTTATTCTAAGTCCCCACCTGATCCGTGAAACTGAAGGTAGTGCTGATGCCTGATCAAGCTGAAATAATATAAACAATTACTAATGACTATGCTCAGACTGATAATTTAACTGATTAATTATGTTAAGATGCTCTACTTGACTTAACATGATATTCAGACATAATCGGTATAACTGA